TGAGCAAAGTTGGCTGACGGAGCTCCGGGCGCGGTCCCGGGCCCGGGTTTCGGAGCCGACGGGGAGAGGCCTCCGGGAGGGTCGGACCGGCCGTGCACGACGTCGGAGGAGAGCAGTGAAAATGCCCGACCATGGGCCAGGCTGTCGGGGGCAGCGAGAAAGCGCCGGTGGAAGGCTCGCAGGAGTCAGAGGTGATGAGCGGTGGGTGGAAGCCGGAGGCGGCGGCGGCCAGCGTATGGATGCCACGGGCGATTGTGAATGATCGTGGAACGGGTGCGAAGTCAGGGGACTACTGTGAACCGAGAGGCTCAGGCGTTGGAAGAATCGTTTGTGTAGATGTCAGTCGCCAAAAATGACAGTGGGCGCCCAAATGGAGTCAGCGTGTGCCCACACCGAGGTCATCAGTCAGATGACTGCAGGGAGGATGTGGATTGTTCTGCTGGTCAGAATGGGCTTCCGTGTAGCTTGGACGTATGCCGCACATAGCGGGAAGCGTAGTGTTCCAGTCTAGGCCAGGAAGTCCTTGGGATATTAGGGGAGAAGCACCACCTGCAGGAGCTGAAAGCAGGAGGTGGATGAAGGAGTTTGCTGAAGAGAAGGGTGCAGTGATGGGGCAGGGGGAAGGATCGGCGCTGAGGAGAGAAGACTCCAGGTGACAACAGGTGTCTGTTGTACTTTTTGAGTTCAAGGTAAGCAGCAGGAAAGGCCCACGGGACACCTAGCAAGGATCGGCGCTGAGGAGAGAAGACTCCAGGTGACAACAGGTGTCTGTTGTACTTTTTGAGCTCAAGGTAAGCAGCAGGAAAGGCCCACGGGACACCTAGTAGGAAGGGGAGCATTTAGTCCAAGTCATAGTCCAGAGGATATGGGATGAGGTCCTCTGCATCTTTCGTGAGTACCTATAGCCAGCTGAATTCTCCCTCAACCCTTGTGCTGAGAACCCTGGATGTACTGGGTGAGCATTAACAGACTCCTTAGTCTAATGGCCTGGCTAGTTCTGTCAGGCCCCACCTCACTGCTCAGCTGCCTCAAACCCTTCCTGACACGTGCTGCTCTCTCCACCCAGGGACACCCTCCCCCCCCCCATCTTTCTCTTAAGGGTTTGCATCCTGAGGCTACAAAGAAGTATATAGTTCACATGTGCAGGAGGGTCTCTGGTCATCCCCAGGAGCCAGCACGAGTCCAGGCTCTGCAGAGCTCCGTGCCACTCTGGAAGTGCTGTGGGGAAGTCAAAGTACAGTGAGGAATGTGTGAACAGAGGAGCTTTATTGTGGACATGGGTGTTGGGGTGCTCAGTCTCCCAGTGAGATAGTGGCCTCTCGCACATGCTGCCGAACCACACGGTCCAGCAAGGTGTGCACATCTCGGGCAGCCTGGGCAGCGGCCTCTAGCACCTGATCCAGGTGGTCCTCATGTAAACGGGAATCCATCTCAAGCAGTGCTATCTGGCCTGAGGCTGGCAGCAGGGCCAGGGCCAACTGGGGGCCCCCAGCTGCTTCCTCGACGTGGCTGAGGTCTGCCAGGGCTGTGCCATCCACAAAGCCAGCTGAGCATGCACACACAAAGTCCCGCATGGGTATCCCAGCATCCAACACTGCTAGCGTGGCTGCGTTCACACAAGCTGCATAGGTTCCACCATCTGCCTGCAGCACCTGTGGGGAACAGCCCCAGGGGCATCAGTCCATCACACTGCCATCCCCACCCTCTAGCACCCCCATCCACCCTCACACCCTCCAGTCCCTTCCCTCCCAGGGTTGAGGTTGCAGCCAGCTCACCTGCACGTAGATATCAATCTGGGAACGAGGGTGCAGCTGTGTGAGGATAGCTGCCTCGAAGGTCTGGCGTAGCTGCAGACCCATCTCACAGGACTTACGGTCCCCATGTGGCCGCCGCTTGCGCTCGCCTGTGCTGAAGGTTGCTGAACTATACTGACAATTCACCAGGGCCCGGTCAGGCAGGGCCCGAGCGCGAGAGCCCCGAATCTGGAGGAGGAAGGACACATGAGCCAGGCCCACTTCTCCCAGCTCCTACTCCCCAGTCCTCTGTGGCTCAGTCTCCCTCTCCACTTCAGCCAGGGATGACTATTTTACCTCCAAAACAAAGCCTGAGGGAGGTCCACTTGCCAGTCTCCAAGTCACCCTCACCTCTGGTATGCATCTCTTAACTGGCCTCCTTGTTTCCGTCCTTGCCCCATTCTCTCCCAACCCATTTTCCACATTGTGGCCAGAATGCATTTAGAAACATCAAGTCTGATTCTGTCTCACCTATACACTCACATTCTACTTACCTTCTAAAGGCTTCCCATTACGTGAAAGAAAATCCCAGATCCTTTCCCTGGTCTACAAAGTCCTGAGTCCTCACCTCCCTGCAGACTGTTTCTCAATCTAATTCGGAATTATCCCTCTCCCCCCCAGCCATCTTTTTTTTTTTTTTGTCTTTTTTACTGACCGGTAACGGGATTGCAACCCTCGGTGTCGCGCCCGCACCGCGCTCAGCCAGTGAGCGGGAACCGGTCTCCACATGGGATCCGAACCCTCGGCGGGAGCGCCACTGCGCTCTCAAGCGGCGCACTCTCCAGTGTGCCACCAGGCCGGCCCCCACCAGCCATCTTTCTGCTCCGCAGAAAGTGCCGTGCTTGTTTTCGGCCCTGTGGCCTTAGCTGTCCTGATTCCCTCTTCTTGGGAAAGTGGGCTCCCACACTCATGAGCTCAGCAAACATGTTTTCGGTGCCTGTGCTGGCCAGGCACTGTTACGGCATTGGAGACAACAGTAAAACCAGATGGTTTTACTTTAAGTCCACATCCTCAGGGAGCTGATGTTCCAGTGAGGAAAAATTGATGAGAAAGATTAAGTAAAAACTGACATTTAAGGTGGTAGGTGCAGAAAGGCAAGGAAGTGTGTATCATAGTAAGGGATGTGTCAATGTGGGTAAGGTGATGTGCGGAGGTGTCATCCTGGCTGTGATGTCAGAGTGTTGGAGTGAGCAGGACTGAAGTCATTTTGGGACCTAAAACCGCATGGGCTCTAAAACTTTTTAAAAGGACACAGTTGTGGAGTATACTGTAAAGCAAATATATTTCACAGGGCCTAGTTTTTGTACTTTCAGGTTTAGTCTAACTTCTTAAAAGTACATATAAAATGTTGACCTTGCAAAAAACAGGAAGATTTCCCCAGGCTATAGTCTCTGTTGTAAGATGAAGAATTGTAACACAGCAAGATTGCTGGTTCAAAGACAGACAAGTTACTGATTGATATGTAAAGATACTGGGAAGCTGTGTAGGGAGAAAGAATGTTTGCTAAGGTCAAGCTTTTGTTGGTGGATCACTTAAATTGCCTTATGGAATATCACTTTGCTTGTTTTACTGAATGTTACCAGCCTACATTGTTAAACTATAACCCCACCTGTGTTCTCTTCCTGTAACTTCCTGGTCTGGAGAATAAATGCGGGAAGAGAACCCCAATTCGTGGTTAATTTCCCAAATGGAAAGAATGCCTCTCTCTTGAGGGTTCTGGGAGATTAACCACGTCGGGGCTTCTCACTGCTCCAAAGAGATGGGCTTAGAGTAATCCTATGTGACTCCATCACCCAGGGAAAGAGGGATGACAAATTCGTGGGAAGCAAAGCAACAGTTTTTTTTCCTTGGCATGCATTTTTCTGGGTTTCCTCTTTTCCCATGGTTATTTGATATTTTGAACCTTCCTTATGGGGCAAGATGGCATTATTTACATAAATGTAAATTTTCCAAGCCAGCCTGAGGCTGCAAGCTTGCAAAAAGACATATACTACGCAGACCTTCAGATACTAAAGAAGACATCACTAAAGCTATGCTGACCCCATCCCTCCCGCAGGACCCTGAGATAACAGCATGGACAGGAGCAGAAACCAGCCTTGGGGAGACCTTGCACCTGGCTCCTTGCATGAAGCCCCCTAAGCTCAGGTCTCCCTCCCTCCTGCTTTTCATTTCCCATCTTCCATTTCCTCAGCCCCCTCTTTAAAAAGCCCTCAGTAAACCTGAATCTTTGAGATGGCTTTAGTCTGGCCGTTCTCCTTCAGGTTTGCCGGAGAAGTGGGTTAGCCCAACATCTCTCCCCAGGTCCCCGATGCTCCTGAATAAAAGCTGGCTTCCATTTCCACCAACACTTGACTTGTGAGTGGTTTGCTTGTGAAAGGGGGCAGGACCTGTGCTGAACAGGAGTAGAGGGATGAGAGATGTGGGAGCAGTGGGCGAGTGCCGGGCATGTTGAGGAGTCGCCGAAGAGTGGTGGGCGCGGGAACACCGGCGATAAGAAAGGCAGGGACCACCGTACCGCGCACTGTGAGGACCCGGGCCTTTACTGCTAGTGGGTGCGGCCCTGAGCATGTGCTGCATGAACGGGGCGCGCAGGCCGTCGCCCCCCGCCCGCGCCTCCGCTCGGCCCAGCGGCCCCGCGGCTCCCGCTGTGCGATTCCTCCTCCCGCGCGCACTCGCCTCGTGCGGCCCATAGACCACCGCCAGTGCCTTGGTGTTGCCCTGCTCGATGTAGGCCGAGCCGTCGGCCTGCGCGAACACGCCCATCCGCGCCTGGATCTTGCGCAGCTCCCCGGCGCGCCGCCCGTCCACCCGGTAGCCCTGGTCGGACAAGAGCTCCAGCCCCGCCATAGCGCCAGCAGCCCGTCCGCCCTCCGCCGCCCAGAGAACTACGGCTTCCGGCGGTGCGGCTGCACTTCCGGTCCCGGAGAACTACGGTTCCCGCCCGACTCGACCTCCCGGGAGCTCCGGTTTCCGGCGGCCCGGCTCCACTTCCGGCCCCGGCGGGGTGGCCTGCGGGGCGTCCGTCAGGGCGTTCGTCCTCGCGGCCCGGGACACGGCTTCTGTTCCCGCTTTCACACTTGTCGGTCTAAAAGCCGACGCGAGTCCTACCGCACGTGCGCCCAGGCGCGTCCCTGCGCAGCGGCGGTGAAAAAGACAAAAGACAAAAAAAAAAAAAAAAAAACCCTTGTGGAATACCCCCCAGATAATCCTGCGAGCTCTCGGTAATTCTTTTGTTAGCTGCTTGATACCCATGGGGTGGATGCACCAGGATGGATTCCCACCGCTGCCCCGTGGTGGACAGTCGGTGTGTGTCCAGGGGCTTACACTTGGGGGACGGAACAGCAGGAGCGGGGTTCTTGGTGAAGGCTCGAAGTGTAAGACCATGAGGTCCTTTTCCCTCCTTCCTCACCAAGAATACCTTGTGATTGTGTGTGTGTGTGTGTGCGCGCGCGCGCGCGCGGCTGGTGGGTACTTGGCTTGTGTGGCGATATGAACCCTTGACCTCGGTGTTATAACCCCTTCCTCTAACCTACTGAGCTAACTGGCCAGCCCCAAGTTAGGATTTTTAAAAATAAACTTTGCCAACTTGCAGTATTCCTGACATCATGTTGTCACTCTTGGATTTTCTTTTCTTTTTTTTTTTAAAGATGACCGGTAAGGGGATCTTAACCCTTGACTTGGTGTTGTCAGCACCACGCTCACCCAGTGAGCAAACCGGCCATCCCTATATAGGATCCGAACCCGCGGCCTGGGTGTTGTCAGCACCGCACTCTACCGAGTGAGCCACGGGCCGGCCCCCACTCTTGCATTTTCTGGTCCTGGCATATTCCAGCCTCTCATGTCAGTCCAATCCAATGGAACAGAGGATGTGTCTACAGGAAGGAAAAATAAGGGAGACTTTCCTCCCGGGTACCTGCTGTCTCCATGTACCTGTTTCCCAGTGGTCAGTATCACCAGCAAGGAGCTTATTTCCTTCCCAGGGCTCAGGAAGTCACATCCCATGCTCCAAGTGAGAAAGTGGAAGGCTGAAGCAAGTGAGTTGCAACAGTGACAGAGAAGAGGAAGAGGCACTGAAGGGTCACTGAGGTGGTATCAGGGAGGTGACCAGGCCCGTGTCCCAGCATGGCCCACACCTGGCACCTCTCAGGCCCTCTCAGGTGCTCTTGTGCTCGCCCATTCCATCCAGCTCCCACACTGCAATCAAATGGGCCTCCTTTTTCCCTTTGAGAATGCAGATTCCGTCACCCTTTCAGAAGGGGGTTGTGTTGTTTGTCTCTTGCTGTGTAATCTTAGTGGCCTCAAATAACAAAAATTTCATTATTTTTTCTGATAATTCTCTGGGGTCCCTAGGCTCAGCCAGATCCTTTGCGCTTGGGATCTTGCCCGCGGTTGCTGCCAGATGGTGGCTGGAGCTGGAGCCATCTTGGAGGTTTCCTCCCTCACATGTTTGGTGGTTGATGCTGGCTGCTGGCCAGGACCTCATGTGGTGCTGTCGGGCAGCACACCCGCACATGGCTTCTCTGTGCAGCCTGGGCATCCTCGCAGCATGGCTGCTGGGCTCCAAGGATGAGCCTCTGAAGACAACAAAGTGTATGTGCATGGTGTTTTTATGAGTTACCCTCAGAAGTCACATAGTGTCACTCCTGCCAGACTCTGTCACTAAGGTCTGCCCATGCTTAAGGGGAGGGGACATGGACCCCACTCCTCAATAGGAGTATCAACACTACACTATAAGAAGAGCAGGAGGGCTGGAAAATACAGTCTGCTACAGGGGCCCCAGTCCAGCAGTCACAGCATCCCTCCAAGGTGGTTGGATTGATTCCCCACCACTGGGCTCTGCAGCTGAACTGAGCTGTTTACTGGTGGAGTGACCCAGGCCTTCTTCCTCAGCAGTCTGAGCTCTTACTGTCTCTCTTCTCACTGGGTCGAGGTGGTTGTAGTTGTCCACTGACAGTCCTTACTGCATGTGGAATTACTAAGATGTCACAATGAATCCTGCAGGGCCCCTGTCCCCATTGTGTAGCGTTGTCCTTAACAACTCAGGATAATCAGGATAATGTTCTTCACCCTAAGGAGTCCAAAGTGGGCCAGTGGTTGCTGCTTCTTCCAGATCACTGGAACCCTTGCTATGTCCCCCTGCCACACCTCAGTAACCAGGACCTTCAACCTGGCAGCATCTCAGGTTTAGAGTATGGGGCCACTTCTACCTCACACGCTGGCTCTCTGACCCTTGTAGTCTAGCTGTAGGGCACACACATGGATGGATCCAGGTTTTGGGGGCCTAAATCTTATACAAATTTGGGAGCTGTGCTGGGGATCCCAAAGACCACCCCCGGATTCAATGATTTGTGAGGAGGACTCATAGAACTCAGCATGGAGTTGCACTCATGGCTAAGATTTATTACAGAGAAAGGATGCAAATGAAAATCAGCAAAGGCAAAAGGTTCATGGGGTGAAGTCCAAAGGAACCCAGGTGCAAGCTTCCAGAATCCTCTCCCAGTGAACGCACACAGGGCATACTTAATTCCCACAGCAACAAGTTGGGACACGTGCATGAAATGCTGTCTATCCGGAAAGCTCGTTAAGAGACTCAGCACCCAGGGTTTTTATGGTCTGCCGGTCACATAGGCACCCTCTGCCTGGCATGCATCCAAATTCCAGACTCCCAGGGGGAAAGCAGGTGTTCCTCATAAGCCATATTTGTTTGTGCCAACAGTATAGGTCCAGGGAGCCACTCTTGTCAAGGAATGGTGGAAATTCTTCTGAAACCCAGCTTCCCTGATGCCAGCCAACTTCGCAGGCCTGCCTTTGAGGAGCAGCGGTATCAGGGCTGCTTTGTTAACTTTTTTTCTGCACAGGGCCCTCTTTAAGAAACAGAAGACAACGGGCCGGCCCGGTGGCGCACTGCTACAGTGCGCGCTTGGGAAGTGTGGCGGCGCTCCCGCCGAGGGTTCGGATCCCACATACAGACCGGCCACTCACTGGCTGAGCGAGGTGTGGGTGCAACACTGAGGGTTGCGATCCCGTTGCTGGTCCCGGTCCAGTACGGGCACGACACTGAGGGTTGCGATCCGTTGCCGGTCACGAAAAAGAGACAAAAAAAGGAAAAAAAAAATTAAAAAAAAGAAACAGAAGACAAGCTGGCTGGTTAGCTCAGTTGGTTACAGTGTGGTGCTGACAACACCAAGTTCTGGGGCTTGACCCTGTACTGGCGAGCAAAAATAAAGAATGCAAACTTATATACCCCAAATTAAGTGAATAAAAAGAAATCCCAACACATTAATAAAAATTTTAAAAGCTGACAAATACCACAAATATCACAAAATACAGAAAACCAACATAATATTAAGTGCCTGACATGTCATTAACTAACACGTTTCTGTCACGGGTCTAGGATGCATACTCTGATGCCCTCTTAGGTAACAGCACTTCTGTGATGTCACCAATATGTAGAGAGAAAATAGTTCAGTCTCTCCTCTAACATGTTAGATCAGAATTTATTATTTTATTATTTATTTATAGTTTGTATAAGTCGCTTTCAGGCAGCAGCTCCTTTGGGTAATATCATGTACATTTTTAGGATTGCTATTAAATTTGAGGAAAGCTCTGTCAAATTTCTTTCCCATATGAGCCATGAGATTTCAGGCTTTTGGGTTTTCTGGTTTGGGATTAATCTTAGATCCTCTTTGAATGAGGGCACTCACTGGCCAGTTTCACCAGTTCATCATGTAACACGCAGCACAGGGAGGCAGCTGTGTTTCTGGAAGCCATTTCCACACCAGAACAACCAGCAATGGTATAACTATATCAGGAAGTGACTGTTCCCATGAAACCCAAACTAAATGGTACCTCCGACTCAACGTCCCCAGAGCCGGATCCCACAATGCCCCCCCTAGCACCATGCCACAGGGGAGGAAGGGGCGGTCTTAACAGATAGTGGTTAAAATATTCCACCTGTGCAGATTTTGCTAGAGGCATGACGGATCCCACAATGCCCCCCCTAGCACCATGCCACAGGGGAGGAAGGGGCGGTCTTAACAGATTGTGGTTAAAATATTCCACCTGTGCAGATTTTGCTAGAGGCATGACTGTGTGAATGCTTTGCTGGGCCCCAACCTGGAAGGGGCTGTGCGAGCGAGGGGCCTGGAGCTGGTCCTTGTGACTTCACAATGAAGCTGTCCCTGGAGCCCAATTCCCTAGGGCAGCACAGACGCATCCCAGCAGACAGTGTCACACTTCAGAAGGGGCTGACATTCTGCTGGCAGAGTGGCAGGGCCTTCAACAGACTGTGCCACCATTCCATTAGGCTGACAGGGAATTTAGGAAGACCAGTGAGTCCCAGGGTCATGAGCTCATTGCCACATGTCATAGTCCCGAAGATGGTTCCTTGATGTGCAGCATTGTCCAGTGGGAGGTAAGGCATTCAGGAAGCCTGGGACAGAGGTGCTGGCAGAGGAACTCCAGGCAGGAAGGGCAAAGTCGTGTCCAGAGTAGGTGTCAGTTCTGGCAAGAACAAGCCACTGCCCCTCCAGGTGGAAGGGTTCTGAGGTCGTTGGTCTCTGCTGCTACAGGTTGGACATTGAGCAGTGGCAGGGGGGCCACGCAGAGCCACCATCCTTGCCACCACCATGGCCACGCTGTTCACGGGCCTTTGCACAAGTCTGGCCCCCTTCAAGGGCAGTTACTACTGCCTGCTCTTCTGCTATATGAGTCACACTATCCTGTTTCTTTGCTTGTCTCACTGTTCACGGGCCTTTGCACAAGTCTGGCCCCCTTCAAGGGCAGTTACTACTGCCTGCTCTTTTGCTATATGAGTCACACTATCCTGTTTCTTTGCTTGTCTCATCATTTTTTGTGGGAAA